TGAAGGAATAAATTAAATAAGAAAGATTAAAAATAATTTTATTATCTGACATTTCTATCTTCTCTCACTTTTTCATACTCTCTCATTAACGGTAATATTTTATTAGTATTTAATTGCTTCTCTAATTTCTAAAGAATATATTAAATAAGAAAGGTTAAAAGTATTTTTTCATCTTCTCTCACCTTTTCATATTCACTCACAAACGGTAATATTGATTTATTAATATTAAGTTATTTACGTAGTTTGTACTTTCAAATTCATTGTTCGTCTCTCATCCTCCCTTCTCAAATTCCATACTTGAAATTATAATGATTGACAAATGTACTTTTTCTTCATCTTTTCACTGTTTATTCTATTATTGTTTGTTATTTTGATTTTTGTTGAAGAACATTTGTTGTTTGAGAAAATTGTTTTTGTTTTTTATAAATTTTTATGATTCTCCAATTAGAAAATTAATAATAGATTCATTTTTCTCTAGATATGAAACATAAAAGAATAGATTCATTTTTTAAAAGTGATAAAAAAGATACTTGTAGAGATGAAACCAAACAAATTCAACATCTTCTCCTGTTTCAAAGCATGATATTGATGATCCAATTATTCAATTAGAAGAACCCCTTTCTAAGATTCATAGAATTAAAACTAATGAATTTAATATTGATTCTTTGGAGCGTGACCCAGGAAAACGTCTTCAGATACATGAATATCCTTTGAATCAAAGAGATGAAATTAGAAGAGCTTATTTAAATTGGGGTCCATATCAAATACAACTTAAAAACTATCCTTTTTCTAAAGAGAAACATCCTAGGAGATTTCAATATGGTTGGTTTAAAATGTTTCCTTCTTGGTTAGAGTATTCTCCAACTAGTGATGGAGCTTATTGTTTGCCATGTTATCTATTTAGTACCCTGTCAAATGGTCGTCCTGGGGCAGATGTGTTTATTAGACAAGGATTTAGATCATGGAAAAAGGTTAATTCAGAAAAGAATTGTGCATTTCTTAGTCATATTGGAGATAGTCCTTGTTCACCACATAACAATGCAATAAAAGCATGTACATACTTATTGAATCAATCTAAGCACATTGACAACATTATAAATGTGCAAAATTCAGAAGAAGTTTGCAAAAATCGTTTACGACTTAAAACTTCTATTGATACAATTCGTTGGTTAGCATTTCAAGCTTGTGCATTTAGAGGCATGATGAAACTCCAGATTCAAGTAACAGAGGTAACTTTCTTGAGATGATTAAACTTTTAGCATCATACAATGATAAAGTAGCACAAGTTGTGTTAGAAAATGTTCCTTATAATTCAAAATATACTTCTCATCATATTCAAAAGGAAATTTTGCAAATTTTTTCTAGAAAAGTAAGAAATTATATTCGTGAAGAAATTGGTGACTCAAAATTTTGTATAATTGTTGATGAAGCTCGTGATGAATCTAGAAGAGAACAAATGACTATTGTTTTGAGATTTGTAGATAAAATGGGTAATATTAAAGAGCGCTTTTTTGATATTGTGCATGTTAAGATACTATAGCTGTTACTCTTAAAAGAGAATTATGTGTTGTTCTCTCTAGACATAATCTTGATGTTTCTAATATTCGTGGGCAAGGATATAATGGTGCTAGTAATATGAGAGGAGAATAGAATGGATTACAAGCATTATTTCTTCATGATAATCCTTATACTTATTATGTACATTGTTTTGCTCATAGATTACAACTTGCTTTGGTTGCTGCTTCAAGAGAAGTTATTCCAGTTCATCAATTTTTTTCAAATTTGGCTTTTATTATAAATGTTGTTTGTTCATCTAGTAAACGTCATGATGAATTACAAAGTGCAGAATTAGATGAAATAACAAAATTGTTAGAACTTGGTGAACTTGAAAATGGTAAAGGAAAAAATCAAATTGGCACTTTAAAATGAGTTGGTGATACTCGTTGGAGTTAACATTTTCATTCCATTTGTAGTATGATGAAATTGTATAGTGCATCTTGTTTAGTTCTCCAAAAAATTATAATTGATGGTTCAACTTATTCTCAAAGGGGTGATGTTGATGTTGCTTATAATATTTTGTCTGAGTTTGAGTTTGTATTGATTTTACACATGATGAAAGAAATTATGAGAATTACTAATTGTCTTTGTCAAGCTTTACAGAAACAATCTCAGGATATACATAATGCTATGCAGTTAGTCTATTCGACTAAAATTTTGATTCAAAAATTAAGAGAAGAGGGTTGACAAGATTTGTTGAAAGATGTAATATTGTTTTGTGAACAACATGACATTGATATTCCTAATTTGAATTCTACCTATGTAGTACGTCATGGTCGTTCTCGACATAAAAAAGATTGTATTACAGTAGAACATCATTTTAGGGTGAACATATTTTTTATTACAGTGGATAAACAATTACAAGAACTAAATGATAGGTTTAGTGAGAAAACAATGGAAATTGATCATATATGCACACTTGTGAACAAATTTAATCCTTTGGATTTTAGTGAACAAGAGAAGATTAATTTAAAATTTCAACTTCATCATTTTATACTTGATGCTCCTAACCATCCAGATTTAAAGAATTTGTCTACCATGCTTGAATTATGTCAATCTTTGACAAAAACAGGTAAGTCAGGTACATTTTACTTAATAGATCGTTTAATTCGTCTTATTTTAACTCTTCCTGTTTCTACAGCTACAACTGAGAGATAATTTTCTGCAATGAAGATTATCAAAACAAGACTGCGAAATAAACTGGAAGATGAAATTCTTGCAGATAATATGATCATTTATATTGAGAAAGAAATAGCTGAAAACTTTAGTTCTGATTCCATTATTAATGAGTTCAAACATTTAAAAGAACGAAGGGCACAATTTTAAATAAATATTTTATTTTTATTTATTATTATATAATTTTTTTATAATTGGCCCCCCAAACTTATTGGTCAAGATTCGCCAATGTTCGTAAGAGTGTTAAAATAAGCTTAATCCGGTAAGTTGACACAAAAGATCCAGAGGTTAGGTTAGACCATTAATTTTATATCTAATTATATAAGATTCTCTATATTTACCTATTCTTAAGAATGTTATAATATACTTAATCCGATAGGTTGACACAAAAGATCCGAGGTTAGGTTAAACCAAAATAATTGCCGCCTAAATTGAATCAAACATATTTTTGTTAGATTTGACATATTTAGGTAGGTCATATGGGTTTAAGCCGAGACTAACCCAACCTATATGGGTTTAAGTCTGACTAATCTGTATGCTCATGGATGAGTATGTTTTATAGAATAATAATAATTTTTTAAATAAAAATAAAAGTAATATTATTATATTAAATATATATATATATATATATATTATATTAAATATTATATATATGTATATATATATATATTATAAATTAATTTGATAGACATTCACTGCTTTTAAGAATAAATATTAAAATAAATCTCCAATAATCACTCATTCTTACGTCTAATTATTAATAATAATTATTATTTTTAATTAATAAATTACTAAAAATAAATAATGACAATAGAATTTAATTCTTATTTTAAGATCAAATAGATGTATTTTCTTATAATTTATATATTAAACCATTATATCTTAAATAAAAACTAATTTTATTTATAAAAATAGAACAAAAATCCTAAAATAAATAAAATCTTAAACTACATAAAAGAAAAAAAATATGTTTAGTAAGTCATGAGGATTAATTTTGTCATAAAAAATATATTTCAATGTTTGATATATCTATTTAGAGAAGGTAGATATAGATAATATTTTCTATTTAATATATATATATATATATATATATATATATATATATATATATATATATATATATATATATATTTCAAAGACATATTTTTAATTTTTCTTTATAATATCAATTGTAAAATTATATTATGTAATACGACTTTTGTATTTTTTTTTTACTTTTTAATTTTCTAATATTTTTTTATATATACCATTTTTTAAGATTATAAATTTATAATTAAATTTTCTTATTTTATCATTTAATATTTTGTGTTTTATATGCCATTTAATTTTATGTTATACTTTAATTGAAAAATAAAATATACATAATAGTTTAATAAAAGTAAAATATATATTATAATATCATAATAAAAGTAAAATATATATTATAATATCATTGTTTATACATATAATTGTTACTATAATTAAGATTAGTATATTCAAGAGATTACGTAAACTCAAAAGAATCTCTTTCAAATGAAAATCATCAATTGTAAAAAAATTCCTCAATTTAATATCTTTGAACAACATGCTGCATCTTTTCGTGAGCAAGAATGTAGTTACATTAGCTTTAAAAGAATTTGAACTACTTTTAAACATTTTAAAATTTCAACCTTTACATCTAAAATAACCAATATAAAAAAAAAAAAAAACAGGCTAAATAAAGTTCCTATTGGAGAAGAATATAACATTATAAGATATCACCACAACTTGATCTTCCAATTTGCAATTGATGAAAAGTCCATTACTAGTTCTAAGGGTGATTTGATAAGTTTTTATAAATTTTTGTTAATGAGTGACGAAAGAAAATTTTATTAAACCTTACATTTTAACTTACTCCTGGTGTCAATATGCTCAAACACACATTTTATACATTATAAGAAATTTATTGATGTCAAATAAATCAACTTTCAGAATTTACTTATCTTTTACCGTTGTCAAACCTAATTATTGTACCTACCTAGCATATCTTTATGTGTGTTTTAATCCTAACATATCTTTATTTTTGGATGAAATCAAAGTATTCAATTAAAAAACATCACAATATAATATCTAAATCATACAATAAACACAAACGTTAGAAAGGGCAAAAAATGTAGAAAGAAGTATCGGGTTCACACCATTATTTGTCTTGACAAAAGTAAATTGAATGCAGAATATTAGGACCAACGCAAAACAAGAGTACCATCCTTTCCTCTAGAAGACTAGCTCATGAGGTTTCACACCAACCTTTAGGAAAACCTGACACCCAGATAAGTATTTAAGTCAGGAATACTCTCAATGGATTTTATCAACGCAGAGTCGACATTTTTTTGGTCATCTTTTTTCTCCTGGGGCAAGACACGTCTTTCCTGTTTTATGGTAAAAATAAAAAGATCAACACACAGAAACAAGTTGCATAATAAGAAAATTAACATATCCCACCTTCTCTGTCTCAATGAAAAACTCGCCCTCTCCCTTGTTTTTCTTTTTCGGGGACTCCTTTGAGAAGTATTTGTCATCAAATTTGTCCATGTTAACCGTAGAAACATCTACTTTGGTTGACGTGGCAATAACATAGGACTGGCTGACACGTCTCAATGGAACTCCATTAATCTTGAAAGGACCTAAATGGCAAATAAAAAAAAAGAACTAGACTGTAAATGAACAGAATTGATTACAAAAAAAACGACTCAAACACAATCGAATGCTATTCAAATTTAAGTTAAACTGATACTAAAAGACAATGTCAAACTAAACTCTACAATATAACCCAACAATCACGCACACACAACCATCCACAAAAGATTAACGGAAGATAATAAAAGACAATATTCCGAATTGAAAAAATAAGTAAACACAGGAAATACGGAAGAGGCAACATTTACAACACTGAATAATCAATTTGATGATTACAACAATTATAGCATCACACCACGAATCACGCAAAAAGTCAGTATAAACTCACCGGTTACAAGAAGGAAGCTGCTTCAAAAACACTATTCTCTTTCCCTTGAATCTTCCGGCGAGAAGAATCAAGACTGTCCCAGGAGTAACACTACCCTGAAACAATTCAATACAAATACACATCATAAGCTCCAGATTAAAAAAAAAAGTAAAACGGATAAAATTAATTAAAAAAATAATCGGTCATTCAATCAGCTATTGATGACCTACATTGTGTACTAATCCCAAAATAAATTACAACCACCACCATTAACTAAATTTCACTAAATTGAAAACAATAAAAACAAAAAACGGAAGAAAATAACAAATATATATATATATATATATATATATATAAATATATATAAATATATAATGATTACACATAATGCACCTAAGCTTAGTGAGTTTGGGCTTGATCTTGTTGAAAAGAGGTTTCTTAACATCATCCGCAGGATAAAATTTTGGAGGCTTTTGAGCGGGAGTTTCAGGTCTCAGTGTAGGATCGTGACGAGGGAATACGCCGCCGTTTTTCGCCTTGATAGACCAAATACCCCTCTTGTGGTACATCTGCGATCTCGAGTATTTTCCAATGCCCTTTATCAACTCCGGGTTTCTCAACCCGTACGAGTTCCCTACTTGGGCGCCATTGCTTCCTCCTCCAACACAAGCCCTAATTGCTGCTCCTCCTCCAACACAAACCCTAATTACTGCTTCCTCCTCCAACACAAACCCTAATTTATGCTCAGTGAGCAAGTGAGATCAAATGTTATATTTATCTGTATTACCATCTAATGGGCCTTGACTAGACTAAAACATGCAACAGCCCACAAATTTGGAAATATCGGCCTAAGCCTCTGTGCCCAAATAAAGTCTGTTAAACTATTAATACTAAATAAATAATTAAGCCATAGAAAAACATAAAATATATTATGCCATATGTATTTTGAGAATGACACGTGTGTATACAAACTGACTAAACCTAGCACAACTCCACCTACCCACCCGTTAATGAAAGTAAAAATAATAAAATAAAATAACTCGTGTGTTTAAAAGAAAATGTACGAGTTTTTTCATTAGATGTAAACTATATTTAATTTATAATCAGATTATAATTTAAAAAAAAAAACATGAATGAATAATATATATACTAAGAGTACATGATTATGATGAATACATACATGTTAACTCTATGATGATTATCTTTAAATTGTATTGGATTTAACTTTAAGTCTTTAAATTCAATGTTTCGTTTTCAACTATGTTTAGTGGAATCCATAATATATTTTTCTTTCACTAAGGAAAAAAATTGTTAACAAGCATAAAGCTTAGTAAGCATTAGCTTTGAGGGGCACTGTTGAAAAAATGTGGTAAATAATCAAGCTTAGAAAGCATAAAATATGTATAAATATTCCCCAGAATATTTATAACAAACTAAATAGATTCTGGTTATTCTTAGGACTCAAATGCCCACTATTCATGATTTTTAGAAATCCTGATTTGCACGTATGAAAAAACTTCTATTGTACCACATCATCCAGTGTCTATATTGTTGAACATTCAAGAACTTGATGTTGCAAATAATGATCATGATCCAAGAGCTTAAAGACTTAGAGTATTGAAGATTGAAGATTGATAATTTCTGTATTGTAATAACTCTGTTTTAGTTTGATTGAGTCTGTAATTATAGAATCTAAGATAGTCGGTACATAGTCTGTAACTTAGAAGCTTCAAAAAGCTCAAATTTATCATTCAGGTTCGGCTTTAATCGATTAAATAGGTAAATAATCGATTAAAACAGTGAGAAAACTATTTTCTGTACAAACTCACTGCTTTAATCGATTAAACAGCAAAATAATCGATTATTCCGTACAGATAATCGATTATTTCACCAAATAATCGATTAAACCAGAGAGTATTGGGTTCTGACGTATTTGATAGGAAAAGTACTAGTGGGACTTGTCATTTGTTAGGTTCATCCTTAATATCTTGACATTCCAAGAAACAGGCATGTGTTGCTTTATCTACCACTGAAGCTGAATATATTGCAGCTGGTAGTTGTTGTGCTCAAATTCTGTGGATGAAACAACAATTAGAGGATTATAGCATATATTTAAATGACATTCCATTAATGTGTGATAATACGAGTGTAATCAATCTAACTAAGAATCCAGTAATGCACTCTAGGACTAAACATATTGAGATTAGACATCACTTTTTAAGAGATCATATCAGTAAAGGAAACTGCAAAATAGAGTATGTAGACACTAAACGTCAATTAGCAGATATATTTACTAAGCCTCTACCCAAGGATAGATTCTATAATTTTAGAAGAGACTTAGGGATATTAGAAATAGCTTAAAATCTGCTTAATTTGACTGTTTCTGGATGATTGTTATGTTAAAATTCGTGGTGTAGCATGTTCATAGGTTATTATGCATATAAATCTCAAAAACTTGATATAGCCTCTGGAATAATCGATTACTGAAAGTGATAATCGATTATTTTCTCTCAAAACAGGGTATTCTCCTCTGGAATAATCGATTATTTCGTGAAATAATCGATTAAATGCCTCAGATAATCGATTATTTGCTAGAAATAATCGATTAAAGCTGTCTGATATAGAGATAATTGATTATTTTGAGATATAATCGATTAAATGTGACCAGTCTTGCCTCCTAGCCGTTGCCAACGGATATTTTGCCATAGAATCTCTTCTATATGACCGTTAGAAGTATTTTCCCTATATATATAGAGACCTCTAGTTCAATTATACTCACTTCTAACTCTTGCAATCAAGTTTTTCTTACAATCTATACTCTCTTTGCCTCATTATTCCCTCACTTGTCTCCAAATCTTCTTCATACTTCATCTATTCTTTCAAATAACATCATCCTCTCGCCCTAAGATTCCTACAAGAAGAAGATCTGCACATTCTTCTCATTCCCGTCCTAATTCTGTTGAAGGATGAATTTCTGATACGGAAGGTCAACAGGAATTTCTGATGTACTGGAAGGAACGTGCCGTTATTTCTCCTAAATTCCTAATTGGTGAGCAATTCATTCATAGAGGATTTAACTTTCCTAATCTTCTTGAATTTCAAGGAGTTCTCCCATTTATCCAAATGCAAGGTACATACTATCCTGACTTAGGGTATTCTATTCTAGATTTAAGTTTAGGGATCAAATTGCTACATCCCGTGTAAAAGGGGTTACCATAATTCTAGATGATGATATTTGGAAAAATGTTGCCCACTTCCCCCATTAGAGAAGATGATATTAACGTTTATGGTGAGCTAGATGACTTTGATAGGTTTTTAGCTTATCGATCTTTTCTGCGGAATCCCTCTATGGAGATTGGGCGTATTCTTCATGCTGGACCTTTGAAGAAGGAAGAACGCATGATTCTTCATTTGCTTGTCTGGATTTTATGTCCCCGGGCCACAAATCATGCCCAATGTTCTTCTATTGATCTTTGCATTATTCATGCCATAATGAATAATGAACCTTTAGATTGGGGTGTTCTTGTCACAATGACAATGTTAAAGGCCAAACGTCATCCAACATTCAAAATTCCATATACTCTTCTTGTATCCCGAATTCTTGAATATAAAGAAGTCAATGTCGAAGGTGAACAAGTTGTCCGAACTAATAACTTGAACCGCATGCTAGACAGCACATTGATTCATCTCCAAATGGTGCGGGTAAATGACATCTATGTTCACAAAGATGACGTCCAAAATCAAGGTGATGCAATTGAAGACTCTGATGAAGATATGCCTCCAGCAGCTGAGTTTCCCTCTACCCAAATCCAAAGTGTTGGAACATCCTCTTCGCATCAAGAAACAAGACAATCCATGGAAGATATGTTATCGACATGAATCAAAGGATGCAATCGTTCTTCACTCTTTCGATGTACGGCATGAGGAGTTAATTCGCCAGTATATCGGATGTAGATGATAAAGTGTGTATTTTAGAGAATAGATTTGATGCACACTTTAATGATCATGATAGTGAAGAATTTTAAATTCTATTATGTATTTTCTTTTGTTATTGTCTTGATGTTGTAATGGATGAATGATTATGAAATAAAATATGATGCTTCTTTCATGCTATGATTAAGGGGGAGCTTTATCTAAATTATGCATATTTTGAGGGGGAGATCTAATGTTTGTTCTTTCAGAGTTCTTTTTTATTATAATCAAAATAGGGAGAGAAAAATTTAAAGCCTATATTCAATTTTAAATTTTATATGGTATGTTTAATGTGTTTGTTAGTATGACAAATAAAACAGGTTATTACAAGGGCTTTAAAAATATAATTTTGATCATCATCAAAAAGGGGGAGATTGTTGAACATTCAAGGACTTGATGTTGCAAATAATGATCATGAAGAATGTTGATTTTGATGATAATCCAAGAGCTTAAAGACTTAGAGTATTGAAGATTAAAGATTGATGATTTTTGTATTGTAATAACTCTGTTTTAGTTTGATTGAGTTTGTAATTATAGAATCTAAGATAGCCGGTACATAGTCTGTAACTTAGAAGCTTCAAAAAGCTCAAATTTATCATTCAGGTTCGGCTTTAATCGATTAAATATGTAAATAATCGATTAAAACAGTGAGAAAATAATTTTCTGTACAAACTCACTGCTTTAATCAATTAAACAGCAAAATAATCGATTATTCCGTACAATTCCGTACAGATAATCGATTATTTCACCAAATAATCGATTAAACCAGAGAGTATTGGGTTCTGACGTATTTGGCTCTGTTTTAATCAATTATTACTCCAAATAATCGATTATTCCAGTCTGTTTCTGATTTTAAACTTCAAACAAACCCTAGTTTCCCTACTTAAACTCTCCTTTGGCACTCAGAAAAAAAAGAACAACCTTTTCCATACAAAAGTTAAGTGTTGTGAGTGCCAGAGAACTGATTGTTGCAAGATTGTTGCAAGGAAAAGGGGCTTTTGGAACCTGGTGTGAGCTAGAAGCGATAAGAATCACTAAGTGGAATTCTTAGTGGATTGTGTATTGTGCCGTCTCTGGGGAAAGCTGTTCTTCATCTCTTGTGAGTTTCAAGAGAGGTGTCATCTTTTACTTTATCTCTTCCATTGTAATTTGTATTGTAACAATTTGTTTATAGTGACAGTGTTAATCCTCTGTTGAGTGATTAGCAACTGGACGTAGGGTCTTTTGATCCGAACCAGTATAAATTTCCTGTGTAAGACTCTATCCCTTTCTCTATTTACATTTAAACAGTTTTTAATCGGTAAAATTTAGGGAAAATTTTGAAAACCTAATTTTTATTAAGAAACCAATTCACCCCCCTCTTGGTTTTTGTCCGATCACGCGATCATTCCGCTGCGCGATTCTAACACTTGTTAGAATGTGGTAAATATTGGTAAAGGATAGATGGAGTGAGTTATTACAATACAGAAATCATCAATCTTCAATACTCCAAGTCTTTAAGCTCTTGGATCATCATCAAAATCAACATTCTTCATGATCATTATTTGCAACATCAAGTCCTTGAATGTTCAACAATCTCCCCCTTTTTTATGATGATAAAAATTATCTTTTTAAAGCCATTGTAATAATCTGTTTTATCTGTCATACTAACAAACACATTAAACATACCAGATAAAATTTAAAATTAAATATAGGCTTTAAATTTTTCTCCCCCTATTTTGATTATAATAAAAAAGAACTCTGAAAGAACAAACATTAGATCTCCCCCTCAAAATATGCATAATTTAGAGAAAGTTCCCCCTTAATCATAGCATGAAAGAAGCATCATATTTTATTTCATAATCATTCATCCATTTCAACATTAAGACAATAACAAAAGAAAATACATAACAGAATTTAAAATTCTTCACTATCATGATCATTAAAGTGTGCATCAAATCTATTCTCTAAACTACACACTTTATCATCTACATCTGATATACGGCGAATTAACTCCTCATGCCGTACACCTGAAAGAGTGAAGAACGATTGCATCCTTTGATTCATGTCGGATAACATATCTTCCATGGATTGTCTTGTTTCTTGATGCGAAGAGGATGTTCCAACACTTTGGATTTGGGTAGAGGAAACTCAATGCTTGGAGGCATATCTTCATCGAGTCTTCAATTGCATCACCTTAATTTTGGACGTCATCTTTGTGAACATAGATGTCATTTACCCGCACTATTTGGAGATGAATCAATGTGCTGTCTAGCATGCGGTTCAAGTTATTAGTTCGGATAACTTGTTCACCTTCGACATTGACTCCTTTATATTCAAGAATTCGGGATACAAGAAGAGCATATGGAATTTTGAATGTTGGATGA